AGACCAAAATTTAAAAAACGTGAACATCACACAGATTAATATGTACCCCTAAGTCTCTGGAACGGAATACATGCACCAGTGAACCTACAACTACACGATTTATATTTTAAAAATAATTAAATTCACTTAGCATTCAAAACTTGCGAATTTTGAAAAAAACAGATTTGCTGATTAAATACCGACAACTGTTTAACTGAAGTAAAACGGGTTTTCCCCTTGCTATGGATGTCTGCCTAGTTCAGTTCAGCCACATTCTGCTACAGTTCGCCTTTATTATCAGTTCGAAATGGGGTGGTTCCATAATACCACCTTTTCCTCTATTACTTTTTGACGTTTCGACATTCCAGAATCCCAAAAATATAAAAAAACCATTACAAAACACGCACAAAATTCTGATGTATGTGTGTCTGTTGGTGTCTATATTTTGCATTATATCTGAGGACTTGATGAACCAAAAATTTTGAAACTTGGCATGATTATTTCTATATATATCGGGCATTGATGCTACGAACTTTTAGTAATTAAAGGTCGAGGAGTTGGAAGATAGAGAAGGGTCATTTTTGGATTGTAAATAGGAAGGTCAGAATGAACATTAAGATCTGGTTTTTCCAAATCATTTAACCATGCTTTAAATAGGTCGAAACTCTTTTCATTGCAGCTCTGATTAGTTTTGTCACATTCAGGTATTTTGGAAATAGTTAAATCTTCATCTTCGAATGGTTCTTCCCAATTATTATCTAACTCTGATATTATCGACAATGATTCTGATGAAGTTCCAGGAAAATGCGGCGAAGAATATCCTGTAAAGTTCTTTGTTCTGTGATAAGGAAGATTAGCGTTTCTTTTAAGTTCATTTCTAGAAGTATTACTACTTGGCATAGACGAATATTCTGATGACGAACTGCTACTACTGTTCGATGAAGACCCACAGCTACTTTTTGCTTTATGAATGGATAAGCCAAGCTGTCCTTTGCATTCCTTTCCACAGGTACTACATGATATTATACTAGCACTTGACATAGACGAATATGCTGACGAACTGCAACTACTGTTCGATGAAGACCCACAGCTACTTTTTGCTTTATGAATGGATAAGCCAAGCTGTCCTTTGCATTCCTTTCCACAGGTACTACATGATATTATACTAGCACTTGACATAGACGAATATGCTGACGAACTGCAACTACTGTTCGATGAAGACCCACAGCTACTTTTTGCTTTATGAATGGATAAGCCAAGCTGTCCTTTGCATTCCTTTCCACAGGTACTACATGATATTATACTAGCACTTGACATAGACGAATATGCTGACGAACTGCAACTACTGTTCGATGAAGACCCACAGCTACTTTTTGCTTTATGAATGGATAAGCCAAGCTGTCCTTTGCATTCCTTTCCACAGGTACTACATGATATTATACTAGCACTTGACATAGACGAATATGCTGACGAACTGCAACTACTGTTCGATGAAGACCCACAGCTACTTTTTGCTTTATGAATGGATAAGCCAAGCTGTCCTTTGCATTCCTTTCCACAGGTACTACATGATATTATACTAGCACTTGACATAGACGAATATGCTGACGAACTGCAACTACTGTTCGATGAAGACCCACAGCTACTTTTTGCTTTATGAATGGATAAGCCAAGCTGTCCTTTGCATTCCTTTCCACAGGTACTACATGATATTATACTAGCACTTGACATAGACGAATATGCTGACGAACTGCAACTACTGTTCGATGAAGACCCACAGCTACTTTTTGCTTTATGAATGGATAAGCCAAGCTGTCCTTTGCATTCCTTTCCACAGGTACTACATGATATTATACTAGCACTTGACATAGACGAATATGCTGACGAACTGCAACTACTGTTCGATGAAGACCCACAGCTACTTTTTGCTTTATGAATGGATAAGCCAAGCTGTCCTTTGCATTCCTTTCCACAGGTACTACATGATATTATACTAGCACTTGACATAGACGAATATGCTGACGAACTGCAACTACTGTTCGATGAAGACCCACAGCTACTTTTTGCTTTATGAATAGCTAATCCACGTTGTCCTTTGCATTCCTTTCCACAGGTACTACATGATATTATACTAGCACTTGACATAGACGAATATGCTGACGAACTGCAACTACTGTTCGATGAAGACCCACAGCTACTTTTTGCTTTATGAATAGATAAGCCAAGCTGTCCTTTAAATTCTCTGCCACAAGTATTACATTCTGCCATTTCTACATTTGATAAAGTTGAATAACGCGAAACTGAACTACAATAACTATTTGTTGAATACCCTGAAACTAAACTACAATAACTATTTGTTGAATATCCACAACTACTTTTTGCTTTATGGATTGATAATCCACGTTGTCCTTTAAATTCTCTGCCACAAGTATTGCATTCTACTGTATCCATATTTGAAGAAAATGTTTTTATTCTATTTTAATCTAGCCACAATACTTTTCTGATAAAAACAATTATTTTTGTTTTAAAAATAAGAATGTGTTGACTTTCAAATGCATTTCAAAGTATATCAATTAAATGAAATGTTTTAACTTCTTACTAGAGTATTTGCAGTTTAGGTTGATGATAATTTTGAATAAATCTTCAGTTTTCTTCGGACACATAATTTTCTCTTCGTATTAACATAAATTAGTTAAAATTTATTTTGACGATTATTTTATTTGCACCTTTTGTATTTAAAGTATTTTTAAAATTTAATTATCAATTTTCCGATAGTTTAGCTGTTTGTAATGTTGATTCAGTAAATGTCTCTTCAATCCGAAAAAATTCTTTTCGGTAGACTACCTCACAGCCAGTTCAGGTTATAATTCCTTTTATTGCTTTTACAGATGCATTTCGAGCTAGGTTAATTTTCTAGCTCCTCCTCAGTGCTACAAAAATAAATTAAATTTTAACAAATTGATAAAAAAAACAATTCGGGTAGATGATGTTACAAGTTACAACAAAAATAAAACCATATTTTATAATACCTTTTAAGAGTTTCCATGTTTAATTATCAAGATGATATATTGAAATCTGACGCTAAGATTCTAAGAGCAATTTTCTTATCGTCTCAACTTTTTAATCAACATTTTGAACTAATTAAAATTGATGTATTTTGCGTTAATTTAAAAAAAAGTACTTAATTATCTTAAATCCAATAATTTCTAGTGTTTATAATCTTTTCAATATTCATGCTATATACTGTAATATACTGTTAATATCCGTAAAATAAATCTAACAAGTAAGTTAATCACGTGTAGTTTATAGGAAATCAATAGATTCGAAGAAAATATTCGATCTGAAAACATAAATATAACAATATAAATATTTAAGTCTTAAAATGGAAAAGTAAAATATTATTATTAAAATAATTTCATCTTAGGTATACAACTTTCGTTTTAATGAACATGGCCCTTCAGAATTCAAAATATGCAATTAGCATTAATGTTGTTTATGTAGGATCAGAATTTTTATCAGCTGCACATTAATAAATTTCTATTAATTTCAAAATATATAGAAATGCCTTCCTTCTACAAAAATGGATCGAAAATTATGATTTATATGAGTTTTATTGAAGCTACCGAGCATGGTTAAAAATTAAGACAGCATAAGCACAATTATTCCAGATATTACAGACAAGTAAAGCATTTTCAGAGTCACAAATAGCTTACATATAGATTATTGGCAATCTGTGACATGCCATAACAAGCAAAAATTTAAAAAACTAATAAGTAGGCTTAAAATTAATAAATACAAATGTTTATGAGTTAATTATACATTCTATTTGCAAAATTTCCTTAACTTTAACACAAAATAAGAAAAAAGTGAATTTTTAAGAAATTTGCGGAGTTTCTCGGGTTAAAAAACACCCGGGATTCCGTTGGATAAACCCTAGTACTTAGAATGAAATCTATACCGTGACCTTGAAACTAAGGACCTAACGTTGGTGTCCTGACCTTGTGTTTATAGACCTTGTCTATTTCTTCCCTATGTTTAATTAACATGTATATTTAATTAAAGATATGTTTTTAGTATTATTTCCATTTTAAAATTAAATATAATTTATTTATACTACATTAGAGATCATTAGCTATTATTAACGATTAAATTCGTTATTAATGACTAGTAAATGACCCACATACCAGCAAACATATCTACGACTTTTCGCCTTACTAAAAGTAACCTTAATTACGAGTAAAACTTTTCTAAAATAAACATATTTTATATTTTTAATTGCTTAAAAATATTAATTATAATTCTATCGGAAGTAAAACTGAATAATTACTGTCTGAACGGAATCGGAACTTATTTCTACATCTACTTTATATAATTATTTTGTATAGAATTAGTAAATAAACGGAATACACGATTAATTAATAATTAACTATTCAATAATTAGTTAGTGACTAATTACAGCAAATTTATTATTGTTGTTAATTAAGTTAGTATAAAAATAATTAGATATTATTTTAAACTTACAAGACTAGTCCAGAAGTGAAGTTACTGCTTACACGATGGTTTTGGTTTTGGTTTTGGTTTTCAAGCTTACGACTTCCTGTTATTACGTTACTTGTTCTGACTGAATGAATGACTGATTCATCATCTCCCAGAGCAAACCGCTGAACCTAGAGGTGAAATTTGGTACACAATTAGGGTACGTCATGAAAACGCGCACTAAGAAGGCATTTTTCGAAATTCCCCCGCGGGGGGAAAGGATTAAGGCTTAATAGGAAGAATGGCTTCTACTGTACTATTTTAGATGCGATTTTTTGTTTTTATCTGCGTTTTAGTAGCGTACGCCCATGGGAATGCACACTAAAGGTCCGGCTAGCGCGAAGTTTTTACGGCCCCAAGTGTCGAAAGTAAATACTTCTTCGCACGTGAATTGGTAGAAACCAAGGACTATACACTACAAGGATAGCCAGATCCCTATTCTACAATGTTAGCCAGGAATGGCAAGTTAGTGACGTCAGCACGAGTTCTGACCTCTCTGTTTACATAGAGCAGGGTGTGCACGTGTTTAGTTTTCGCTTTTAATATTCGTCCAATTTTGTGATTAACGAAGTGATTTATTTTAATATTTCTGTAATTGTTTTATTTGACTAAGTTTTTTATAAGGTAAGATGATTTAAATATAAGTCATTAAATATTTAAAGCTATATTTTTATGTTAGGTGAAGAACAAAATACTGAGTACTAGGTGTGCTGTGTATGGTTGCAATAATAACCTTCTTTTTTCAAATTGGAAGCAACCTGTTTACATCGGGTTTGATCAAAAAATGACAAGAGAAAT